GCATAGATTCCTTTTTTGTTTTGTTTTGTTTTATTGGCACTTAATGAGTTGTGTAATCATCTTCCATTCTAGTGCCCACTCCTCCTCCTACCTTCATTATTTACTCCTAAAATCCCCTCACTTTCCCCATCCATACATCCCCTATCAACCTGTGCATAAGTTATTACCTCTAGAATGCATCAAGTGTTCTTTATGCAACAGGTTCTAATTTCATCATTTATTGTGATGGTCAAATTTCCCCCCAGCTATTGCCAATGATAGTCCCTTCCAATTGGCTTCTGTGTCCTTTTGACTGCTTCTTTCTTTCTTTTCTTTTCTTTTCTTAAGCACTGTCTTAATTCCGGACGCAGCACAATGCTCCAGGCTCAAGCTATACATTTTCTGCTTAGAATCAGCCCCTTCTCTAAGGACCTTGGCTCCTTTGAGTAGAGAATGGTACTCAGAAATCAACATCAGGGAACTAGCTGTGCTTATTGCCGATAGCCAGTGCTTCTAGTCCCGCTCAGTAGGCAGAGCTAGGAAATGCATGTCTACATTTGCACATTTCTATACCCATCTTTCTGTATATCAGAAAAACACATTGCATTCACATTGGTACCTACAATTATAATTCAGCACCATGGGGTACCATCTGGTCTTCCCCTTTTTAAAATTCATAACTCCCTTGCCCAACACTGAGAAGCCTAGCGGCCACTTACTTCAAAATCATTCTCAATTTGTTCAAGCCCAAACACAGAGAGGTTACTTCAGAGTTGCTAATCCATACATGCCTGCAAAACAGACAATCCTGCCTGCTCCCCAAACCACATTCACTGCCATCGAATGGATTCCCACTTGTAGAGACCTTATAGCACAGAGGGTAACTGCCTCTCTGGGCTTCCAAGACTGTCACTATTGATAGAGTAGAAAACCTCGTCTTTCTCCCACAGAGCAGCAGATTGTAGGAGAATGCCAGCCACCCACAACTAATCGTGAGTTCAGTAAGTGCAATTGTATGGTTGAGAAATATAAAGATTACAGTAAATTCCTAGGGAATAACAGGAGAGAGTAAAATAAAGAATTCAGACACATTTCATGGTAGCATGCTCACCTCCTGGATGGCCATGATCTTACCAGCCAGGTCCATACACAGCGTGGGCCGAGGGCAGGAGAGTGAGGCGAGGTGGGATGATTTATTGCTAACCAAGGCTTATATCTACTTAGGGGGTGTGCTTACAGGTAACCACACACGTCACAGCAAGGGGCTGTACAATTGGCATACACATCATAGGACGGTGATGTACAATAGGCATAAGCGTGACAGGAAGGGGATGAGCTAATAGGAAGGGGAGGGGCTAGGGGTATACATGTGACAAGAAGGACAGACCCTAGACTCAATATGGCACCCTAACCTTGGTCACCCTTGAGTGGGCTTGACTTCCCTGAGCTCTCCTTCAGGGAAACAATCTACTATTCTTATCAGAAGGGAGTGGGTCCTACTTGTTGTGGGATAAGCAGTGGTGTCTGCTTGCTCTGGATGGCTGATAACCCTTAGGGAGAATAACCCCTGAACTACTTCTGCTGACTTCCAAGTGTATAGTCATTTGTCACGTGTAGCAAGCAGCTACATTTGGGATATATTTGGGGGAGACAACTTGGGAGAAATCTTTCTGTTTCCCACAATTCCCCCTTTTGTTTTATGTATAAAAACCAAAAGAGCTACAGTGGCTACACAGTTATTTTCTATACATTGAAAGCTGTCAAGGCAAATTTAATAACCAAATACAGCTAAGCCAAAAATTCAGGCTTATAGCAAGTATTTTGAATCCAGGCACGGGGCATAAAGTCCCCCTATGCCCATCTGCTACTGGAGGAAGGCATGAGAGGGATTAGATGTCAAGGCAGGACAAAATAGAGCAAATATTCATGTCTGCTTCCATAGGGAGATAGAATCAACCATGTGCTTATTTTAAGGCAGCGTGGCTTTAAGGGGAGAAACTGTGGAAATGATAGATTACCACAGGAAAATGTACTTGGATTCTATTTCCAACCATCAGAGTGGCGGCTTTCCTGCCATGGAACACTGGCCTTCCAGATTCCCTCTGTACCCGTCAGGGGATCAGTCCCAGTCTTATTTCCTTCAGAGCTCGTTTCCCACAGGTGATGATCTCAAACTTCTGACCTTAGAGTCAGACGCCCAAAGCATGCCCCCGGACTCTGACAGCATTTTTACTGGGTGAAGTTCAATATTTTTTATAGTTATATTGAGAAAACTCCAGCTCTATTGACAAGGATATGGTGTGCATAATTCAATAAATTTTGGCAAATGCAAACAACCCACACCCATATAAAAATGTTCAATAACATCAGAAAGCTCTTTTGCTCAATCAGCACTTCTCTGCAAGGTAGCCATTTTTCTGATTTCATTTTTTTTAGAAATGCAGATTAGCTTTCTTGGTTGAGATATAAACAAGCAATTTTTATATCCAAAGTGTTTAGGGGAGGGGAAATGTAATACTGCACATTTTTTGTAGGTGGGTGTTGGCATAGGACATATTACTTTGGACATCAACTGGCAGATAGAATGCTTTCTTGAGCCAAAATAAAAAGAAGACTCTTCTCATGGCTGACAATAACGTTTTAATCCGGCCTCGACTACTCTGTCCCAGGCTCACTTGTTCATTTCACTTCATCCACACAGGACACCTTTCTGTTCCTCAGCCACACCAGGTTTTTTTATAACAGCTCAAAGATGTTGCACTTCTTGTTTCCTCTGTGTGTTAGGCCAGGTTAACGAGAACAGAGACAATCGTATTTGTCAAAAAGAGCTTTATCTCAAGAAGTAATTGTATATCAGGAAAATATTCCAACCCAGTTACCTCAAGTCCGTAAGTCTGGTACTAGCCCATAAATTCCTCTTCAGACTCATGCACCACAAACAATGATGCAAAATACAGGAAGATCATAGGCCGGTGGGTGCAGCGTTGTGGATCCAATGGTGGTGGACACATCTCCAGGGCTCCCACCGCAGGTCTTCGGCTGGTTTCTGAGTGGTTTGCCAGCAGGAAGACAAAGCAGAGAGAGAGAGAAAGTCCCAGGACCCTCGTTATGAGAAGGCCACACCCACAAGGAGGCACCATCAGGCTGTGACCTGATTGACAGGCTAGCCCCCACCCATATCTTCTTATGGGTGCCATGTTGGCACACAAAAATGATCACACTCTGCTGCAATGCCTTTTTCTTAATCTTTACTTAGTTGGCTTTTTCTCATTATTCAGACCTCTGAAACCGCCCAGTAACTACTTGACATAAGTAAATAATCTTGCTCCCATTGTTCCTTAGTCCTTCTCGGTCACTTCCTGGGTCTTATTTTTCATATAGGCCTCTTGACATTCTTAAGTTAGTTATTTATATGTTTGTTGTCCATCACCTGGTAAAGAACCGAGTGCTTAATTTATATGGTCTCTGTTATTTTTTTCAACACCTAGAATTCATTGAAGCCAAACCCATTACCATCTAGTCGATTCCAGTTCATAGGGAATCTACAGAGGGTTTCCCAGTCTGTAACTCTTTACAGCAGAAGCCACCCCGAGCTTTCTCCCCAGGAGTGACTGGAAGGTTGGAATCCAGCCTCTCTGGGCGTCCTGCCCCTACAATAACTCCTGGCAAATGTGTTTGTGTCTGTGTGTTGGGGAGGAGGGGTGAGTCAATAAATATTTGCTGGATGAATGAATGAACCTTTTCATTTAACTTGGATCACATTATGATATGTGTTCCTCACTTCCTGAGAATTTGAGGGGAAAGTATTCCTGGGAGAAATCTTTAGTGAATATAAGTCAACATTCCTTTCTGTTTTGTTTTAAGTCAACATTTCTTATGCTCTTCCCCTGCCTATTTTTTTAAATTTGGCTTATTTTCCTAATGAGCAAATATATCACAAAATTGTCTTACCTTGATACAACCAAACCCAAGCCCACTGCCACTGCCTTGATTCCAACTCACAGTGATGGTATGTAACATTCCCAAGACCAGACATCTTTACAGAATCAGACGGCCTCATTTGCCTCCTGAGGAGCAGCTGCTAGGCTGATGGCTTTAAACCAACAGTTACATGAAAATGGTAATGTAGTCACTGATTTTTAAACGATTATTTAAGAAAATATTTTCTAATTTGGGATGCTGGAGATATTAAGTATTAACGTTTTAGCTTACAATAAATAGATCCTTACTTGTGAGCCATCGAATCGATTCCAACTCAGTGACTCACTGTGACAGGGTCAAACTGCAAATAGAATTTCCCTAACCTGTATCCTTTCGCATACTGGTGGGGTTGAACTGGTGGCCTTTTGGGGTGGGGGAGGGGTGGAGAAGGGGGAGATGCATGAGGGGATCCTAGCAGCTGAGTCCTTAACCATGCCACCAGGGCTGCAGAAAAGAATGCCGCCATCTTTTTAAAGGTAGAACTAAGTCCAGATCAAAGCTTAACCTGGGCAGTTACACAGACACGGCTTTAGCACGGACATGAACCTGAGCATTTTGTCTCTGGTGTGACATAAGTAAGGAAGAAAATGCCACTAGGGACAGACAGGAGCTAGGGACTCTGGAACGCACCCCTCTATTCTGTGACAAAACGCATCTGGTCACTTCTCACAAGGAGGATCAGAAACGCGCCTTTGAAGCTGGTTTTGTGTTTGTCCACTTGTCGCTCTGTGGCTGTGGAGGAAGAGAGAGGACGATCCTTCGCAACCGGACTGGGTTTGCTCCTCACAGGTTTTTAGTTCTGGCACAAAAATGTCTAAATATTAGAATCAACTACCGGAAGCATTCTCAGATGGTCATTCGTCTGTTTACCCAAACGACCCCAGAAACACTGACAATTATTTGACAGTTTTCTCAATGGAAACCCATTTTAGGAAACACAATAGCTACAATGCCATCATCTTCCCCCCTCTATAGCAATGGAAACAGGGACTCTCATGAGGGGCCAGATGAATTTGTCCATCTGTGTGTTTGTTTCTAAGGAGCATAGCAGCCACTGACCATGAACCAACAGATGCCCGGAAGTCCTTCCCTTGTTTTGATGAACCCAACAAAAAGGCGACTTACACGATAGCCATCATCCACCCCAAAGAATATCATGCGCTTTCAAACATGCCAGTGGAGGTGAGTAATTCGGACCACTTTTTGTCTGTTCGGAGAGTTTGTACAAGACAGCGGTTTGCTCTGGAAGAGAATCGGCTGCATCTTAAACTTAAATGTGCACTGGAAGTTTATTTAGAGCTTGAGATGACATTGTGGTTCTCTCCTTTCGTTTTTTCTTTTGTTTGTTCCTTGGTTTCTTTAACCCGAGATATGCCAGTCCAATCAAACGTCCATTTGCAGGTGCCTTAGGAATCGTGAATGCAATGGACATGCACCAGCTAGCCTCCATTTACCTGAGGGAACCTTCTGTTGTGTTCGTTAGGTAACTGTGGAGTCGGTTCTGACCCCTATGCACCCCGTGTCCACCAGAACATATCTAGTCATGACAAACTAATGAAATTACAGACTTAAAACAAGTCACGGGACTGGTCAGTATTCTTTGTTGGCAGTTGAATAGAGCCCAGTTTTGAATACAGACCTATAGTAAAAACAAACAGATCAAAAAATATATATCATTTAAACTCTGGGTGTAGAAGCCAACCTAGAGGTCATTCCAATTTTCTGATAAAATAGGAAGTACAGTGAACCCTCGTTTATCGCGGTTAATCGGTTCTAGACCCTACCGTGATAAATGAAATTCCGCGAAGTAGGACTCCTTATTTGTAAATCAAATATTTTCGTAGTTAGAGCATAGAGGACATGAAAAAACACCCTTTAGTCACCATTACACTCGTATTACCCAATTTATTAAACGAAAAAGGGAAAATACAGTAAAACATTTTGGACGTTACAATGATCATTTATTATTTATTATATTATTTATGGCATCAAGCGTGTACAGTATGAGCCAATCAGTGGCAGTAATGATAGAGCATGCGCTGTTACGCAAAAACCGCGATAGAGTGAAGCCGCGGAAGTCGAAGCACGAAGTGGCGAGGGTTCACTGTACTCGTTAAATGTGAAGTAATACTCATAGGGGACTAATGCAACAAGTTTTGTCCATAGAGTTACTAATTAACCGCCATAAGGTGACCGGATTTAAAGCGGGACACCATTGACAAGGGGGGGGGAATGGTTCTTGATGAAAATTTTGGTCTATATGGACCAAATAGACCATTCCCTAGCTTGTCGTGCATTCTTTCCAAAAATCGGGACTTTTTTAAAACGCCAAAAAGCGGGACTGTCTCGCCAAAAGCAGGACGCCTGGTCACCTTAAATTAACGGACTCTTTCCATCTCCATAACAGGTAAAATATTTAACTACCGCGTCATGACCTACAGTTTTAGATTGCTTATGTCTTATACATTTGACCTGTAAAAGGACTAGGCTCACTATTAAGCTTCATTGTCAACTACCTAGTACCAAAGGACACAGTGCTCAAAATTACACTTCTGTCATTCTGATCCACTATCTGAAATAGCATTGAAAGCCATCACTTTTTCATTGCAAAAAAAACAACAAACATTTTTAAAGGCAGGGATATAAAACTTGAGGGTTAAAATACACTGTCACCAGTCATCCATGACTCAGTGTGAAGTCATTCACCAACCTGCTTTCTCTTGGTGTTCGGCACCTGAGAAATGGAGATTTCTTGGGAGAAACAAGAAGGCAGGGTCAAATTAAAGACTCACGCATCCAGAAGAGGAGATCCGATCTCTGGAAAAGGTCATGGGAACGTTTAGGCATGGATTGGAGGGAGAAGCAAGATGGGAAGAGGGAGAAGGCGAACGTTGCCAACTTCTACTAAAGCCTTTCCCACAAGGCCTTTCCATGTTGGAGAGTGCAATCCTTCACTTGTATTAGATATTCTGTACGGGGTCATTAAAAGACCCAAACTAATAGTACCCAATGTGTAGAGTAGACTGACCTACTTCACGGGGACCCAACACTTTTAACCAAGCTCATACATGCACAGG